TCACTTCTGAAATCAAAATTGAGTAAAGTGATCTTTGCGTTTATAATATTCATGAAAAAATTTTTAACTTTTCACAAAAATCATGACGAATCGTAAATACGTAATTCAAAGACCTATCAATTATATATTCAATAATATTACTGTAATACCTTTGTATATGACATTAACGTAAAATTGAGCTTAAGAAAAATCGTAATCTCGTACTGTACCTGTTTTGTAAGTCAGCCTATTTTGCTTTTCCATTTTTCAAATCTGTCATCATACACGTGTTTTAAGTTAGCAAAAATTTACTGAATTAGAGCAACAACAAAAAATACTATTTGAAATGTACATGCAATCTTACATTGACCTTTCATCAATCACATATTACTGATGTACTGTGAATTTTTTTACTAAAAATCTTTAGAACCTAGTGATAATCCATCAAAGATCGGCGTTTTATTTTATGAATTTAACAATGAACAGTGCGTGGTTATTTGTGTGCGTTTTTAAAACAAAAAAAGGCAAACACCAAAATAAAGTTCAACTCACGTTGAGGAAAACTTTGAGTTTCAAAATCGTGTGGTAAAGTGAAAATTTCTGCAACTGTTTCCAGACCGAACTGGCAGAAACTTTTGCGGGATTTGTAAATTTTAAAAAGCCTTTCCCTCGCAAGAGCGAAAGAAGGAAGGGGGAAAAAAACCAACACTCGCAAAGGTAATAAAAGATCGAGGCAATATCATTCAGTCATTTGAGTAAGTAAAAACAGTCGGGAGTGCGCGGGGAACCCGCGAAAAGTCGGGAAAAGAGATTTTCCCACGAAGAACGGCTGTACAAACATCAAACCAATATCGTAATTGCTCGGCTCTTTTGCAACTACGTATACCTTTGGCACGAAAGTCCCCGGCCCTTCGTCCAAGACGACTACTCTGGATTCTCCTCGAGAGAGAAAAGCTCTATGTATACGCGTGTGTACCCAAGTTTCTGCGGGAAAGGGATGGTTTTCTCTTCTGGTCCGCGGACTCGACTCCGAATTCTTAGGAAATTACACTTCAAAGACAATGTTGGGCCTGCGCCTCGCCACCCCTTCTTTCTCTATTTCTCCGTCTCTCTTCCTCCTTTTTGGGTTGATCGTAATGAAATTTTACTTCAAAAATATTTCAGGCAAAGCAACGAAATAATGGTATTAATATTTATTTCGTGTCAATGATCCCTCGTGTTTATTTTGAACCCTCGAGCTCATCTTTTAAACACGAGCCAATCGAAATTCAGAGTTGATTAACTCTTTGATTTTACTTTTATTTTTTCATCCCGACTCGGTCTAATTGAAAAAGAAAAAAGTGTTTGCTTACATTTATTAGTCAATCGATATTGTTAAATATGTATGAGGCGGAAAAAGAAGAATACGCCACCTCACTTCTGTTTCAGACTTTTTTCTTTTTATTCTCGTAAAAAAAAAAAAAAAAAAAAAAAAAAAAAAAAAAAGCTCCCCCCACAGCCTCTCCCCGACGCTTTCCGGCTCGAAAACAGCGCAACGAGCGGTAATAGCAGCGCCCGCTTAATTTGCCACCATTGTCGCGACCCCGGCGCCTAACTAGCCCTTGTCGCTCGCGCGNAAAAAAAAAAAAAAAAAAAAAAAAGAAAATTAAAGACGAGCGTACAGCAACGAAAGGTTAACGACATGCAGATACGCCAAGTCGGCGTTTCGTAATGACTCGTATACCTAAGAATCGAAAAAAAAAAATCCTCCCTCCAAGAAACAAGTGGGCCAGTCAGATGGGAGACAAAAAAAAACCCCGTTAAGGGTGCAAGGTGATGGCGATAGCCGAGTGAGGAAAAATGCAAATGGGCGAAAATAAAGGCAACGTCGCGTAAAATTAAACAACGCCTGAATATAACGCGAGTGCAATCGTCGACCGATCGATTAGGGAAAAAATAACGCCCTTCTCCTAGGGGGGGACGGAAACACTTTCCACGCGCGATTTTGCCGCTCCCACGTGAAATTCGATTTCCACGAGCTCGCAGATGTATCGCGTGTGTATACGCTTTCCTTGCCATCGCGGCGAAAGTTTCTCGGGAAGAAATTACCGAGGGTAGCTGGCTCTGACGTTTAATGTCGAAGTTTGAAGTGGCTCCGGTGCCTCGGAAGAAATTGTCGATTGCTATGAATGCTGCCCGGAAACGACATCGGGTAAACATCGTTGGCATAATTTCGATCTTTCAACTTGGATTTTATGTCGCGCGATTTGTATGGAAATGCGGAATTTTTTAAAGGCAAAGTCGATTACGAAACTGGCGATGGATGAGAAAAATCGCACAAAACACTTCCTCGAAAAAATATTCGATTTATTGGTCATGCTTGCCGAAACTGATTCGATGTTTGATTTTAATTTCCAACTGCAAGAGATTTGTATTCTACGGAAAATTTGTTGGTAAAACATAAACATCAGGATGAGGTATTTTTTTGAAAACCACAAAACAAAAATACAAATATTCTCCGTCAAATCTTATTTTCTAATAAGTAGCTTGTTTCTCCCCCCACACCGCATAACTTTCCGGCCTTCTCAATTATTTTCTTTTCGCTGGCTCTGATTTCATAAAATTTTTTCTCTTGTTTATCTATTAATACTCCTGATATCCAGCCAGCTCACTAACGTTGCACCATTTATTACTTAACAGTTAATATTTTAATATTTCACTTGATCTCAATATTATGTACTACTTTTAATTACTAATTATTTTTACACATTTTACATTTATTTAAGTCACTCGTTATTTACTATCCATTATAATTTCAATTTAGTTTCCCATTCTATAATTATGTTGCTACGCTATTTAATTTGTTATGTGCTGCACTCGACAAGATACTTTGTTAATTCATTGTAATTGAGCCCAAGGCCCGTTAATTCTATAAATAAAAAAATACTGATTCTCTGGCTTTCAGTTGAAATTATGCTCTTTTCTTGAGTAATTTTATAACGCTTTTACTTGCTCTCAGTCGAAAATTATTAGTTATTATTTTACCTATAAATTATAGCTGTATTTACAGCTATAATTTTTTTAATTTACAGTTATTATATACATAATAACTTTCAAAAGTAGCTATTTTCAGCTATAAATATATTTCGCACGAATTTCAAACAACAAAATTTATTTAATATCCTTTTTTTATGGTATGTTAGACATAGTAGGCGCTATTATCTGCATGCATAAGAATATCCGTGTAATATACTACGCCTTTCGCTGGTTAAAATTTATTTTAGAATCCCAGATGCGTTGTCGTCTACTGCTCATTATTGAGTATCAATCGGTGTTTCGTTGATTAAAAAATCAAAAAATAATAAATCAGATTATTTTTTCCATCATTATATCACGGTATTTTTATTTTTAATTAAAAATTAAGATTTATAAAAATGTTTGTTTGGTTGTGAGTTTGTGGTTTTCTGTACGACTTGACTAATCGAATTCTACATTAGAGACGTACAATAAATGTGAATTTTCATGTAATTTAGTGAAATTTTCTTCTTACACCAACTTTTTTTCGTATACACTGTAAATCTAAGCGTGTTAAACTACACGTTTAAAGTGAGTAGTTGAAATTTTTGTTTTTTATAAAACACATTGTGGTGGCATAGCTAATAATTTTAAGGACAACCAAAGCTAAGTGGTTGAACAGTTCCATTAACTTGGACAATTTTGAATAAGAAAAATCAATGTAGGAAAGCTGTGGAGTTGAAAAATCTGTGACAGAAATGCTTTACTCTCTACAGCCGTCTTATACCAGCTGTTAACGAAAAAAATATTTTAGTGAGTAGATGCAATAGTTTACGAAGCATCGATTTGATTATTCTTGTTACGTTTATCAAGACTACTATAAAGCATTTCATAAAAACGGTAATTTCGACTACACGCTTTAAACGTGTACTGTAACACACTTAGATTTTACAGTGTATGTACGGTACAAATAATTTTACTAGGACTGAAATACGTACTTACTTCGCCCACAGCATAGGACGCAACAAATATTAAAAGTACGTCCTCTCACCTTAGCAGCAGAACGAAGAATGTTTATGTGTACTATGTCAAACTCTTATCTCGCTGCAGGGCTTTCATGATACCACTGGTAAATATGTCTCACTTTGTGAGAGCTTGACTTTCTCTTATCGTAAAGTCGAGGACTGATACCAGCTAAAAGTCATCGCGTGTCTCAAACTATTTCAAGGGTCACAAGAAAAATAAATAATTAGTCTTACTGTCACCTTTAATCCGAAGGTCTATACCATTCGTAGATAAAAACATACATCTTGGAAACCATATCGACAAAAGCTTTGTAAAATGATAGACCGTTTGAATCTTTACTGAATTATTGACAAAATTTTCATGACACCTCTTGTCATCCGATGAAAACTCAATATACACTCGATCTCTTGAACTTTGAAATAATATGACAAGTAAAAAAAATAATAAATTCGTTATGTTTGAAATTTGTCGACTCTTTTTTAAATACCAACCATGGCAGTGTTGAACCAAAAACTTGATTTCAGAGTACATGAACTTATTAGCTATTATCTTATTATTTTCTTATCTGATAAGAATGGAAAAAAAATAAAAATTTCCAAAACAACACATTTATATTTAACCACAAATTATTTGCTATCAACACCTGCAGCAAAACATCGCGTGAGAAGAGAAAAATGGTAATCAAGACTTCAGTGCTCGATGTTATTTTAATTTTTAATCTCCAATTTCAATGTCCAAAGTTCAATGAACAACAATGAAATCGGATCTTTCATTCAAACCGCCCGAGATGATTTCAATAGGTGCAATGTACGGTCAATTATCACCACCGTAATATTCCGTCAAAAGAGATATAGAGAGAGAGAGAGAGAGTCACGATTCTGTCAAAAAATCTTGAAGCCACGTTAAGGAATCGTCGGGTCATAGGTCGGTGAGTATACTTCGATAATGACACCGATTTTGGTATAAAAGGCCCGGCCCGACGACTGATCGGCAAGCACAGCACCACCATGCGTTTCAGCATCGTGTTCCTCGCTTTGTTTGCCCTCGCGGCGGCCGTTCCTACGGTTCCCAAGCTCCATGCTGGTAAGTATCTTGTCAATACTTTGCCATTTTTTGTTTTTCCCACCGACAATTTCAAACTAATCATTATTACAAGATTCAACAATTGCTGCATTTAGTTTCACGTTTATAAAGTTATTATGGACAGATTTTGTTTATTAAGTGTATCATAAAACTTTCCATCGATTGACAGATTTTCTAAGTAGTATTTTTGAAAAAACTATAAAATTTTTATTGCACATTAATGCTACTTTATGTAGATGACATTTTCGCTCTCGAAAGTACAATATTGAATTGTTTTCGCAGCCGATCAGGATTTCTTGGCCAAGCAACAGGATGTGATTCACCTGTTGGAAAACATTGCGGGTCAACTTCCCAACGATCACCTTCGTAATATCGGTAGCACCTACGAGTTCGAGCCCTACCTAAAGAACTACGAGAATCCATCCGTAGTGAAGTACTACCTCGGCCTCTACGCCACCGGACACGTGCAGCCCCAGCACACCCCGTACTCGTACTCGGTGAGCCAGCTCAGAAAGGAAGTGGCTCTTCTGACCCAGATCTTTTTGGGCGCCAAGGACTACGTTACCTTCCTGAGCGCTACCGCCTGGGCTCGCGTCCACGTTAACCAGGACCAATTTGTCACCGCCTTTGCCCAAGCTGTTCTTCAACGTCACGACTTGCAGGGTGTCATCCTCCCAGCTCCGTACGAAGTCTACCCACACTACTTCTTCGACGCCAGAATCATACAAAAAGTTCAAGACCACGTCAACAATCATATCGCCGATTACCAGACTCAAGGCGACAAACATGAAGTTCATACCATCCACGTCAACTACACCTCTTACCTGCCATACGATGAGAACAAGATTGCCTACTTCACCGAGGACATTGGCTTGAGCGCCTATTACTCCTACGTCCAGCTGTCTGGTTACATGATGCCATACGTAATTACATTTTTCATTCGTAGGATTAACTATTATTTTTTTGGTTTTTTTTTTCTTCAATTCCAACTGTACTATTCGTTTTGTATTTTTCAGGGTGAACATGGTTGGACTGACGAAACTACTCCCCACCACATTGGCCATGGTTCTCACTATTACTACGTTCACCAGCAATTGTTGGCCCATTACAACCTCGAGCGTCTTGGTCAGGGACTTGGACCCATCCATCCCCTCGACGATTACTACGAACACATCGAGACCCCGTACAAACCGAACCTCCGTTACCTCAACGGCATCAACTTCCCGGGCCGCGACGAGCACATCTACGTCACCAACAAACACCACTCTTACGAACTGATCAAGCTGGTCCGCATCTTGGAACGAAGGATCCTTGATGCTATCGACGCTGGACAAGTTATCACGCCCCAGGGTGCCTTCTTGTCCCTGTACCAACCGCAAGGTCTCAACATTCTCGGTGAACTGATTGAAGGTACCGGCCGCAGCATCAACCCTAGATACTACGGCAGCTACATGTACGTCGCCAGACAACTGCTTGGACAATCACCCTACTTTAGCAGCATCTACGAGTACTCCCCGTCGGCTCTTGAGCTAGGCCAAACCGCCGTCCGTGACCCCATCTTCTACCAATTGTACAACAAGATCATCGAAATGTTCCACTACTACCAAGAAAGTCTTCCAGCTTACCAGTACAGCGATCTCATCGTACCTGGTGTCAGCATCGAGAAGGTCGATGTTAGCGAGCTCATCACCTACTTCAGTGATTACGAAGTTGATCTCGCCAACGCCATTGCCCAGCCCGTTGGAGGATCCCACGAACACCAACCCTTCCCCAAGGTTGTTGCTCACCTCAAGAGGCTCGACCACAAACCATACGAGTTCAGCATCCACGTCAACTCCGAGAAAGTCCTGCCCGGCGCAGTCTTCCGCGTTTACGTCGGACCTAAATACAACTACGATGGACAACCGATCGACATCACCACTCACCGCCATTATTTCTACGAACTGGATCAGTTTGTTTACGATCGTAAGTAATGCTTTTTCATTACATTTGCCTGTGTGTGATTAAAGGGAGTTGGATTGGTCATCGATAAATCTGTTTACAGTAACTGAAGGAAAGAACATCATTGTCAGAAACTCTCACGAAGCTACCGGCCAAAGCTACGACTGGCCAACGGTCAGCCAACTCAAGGAACGCGTCCAGGGTGCTTTCCGTTCCCAGAACCCATACTACATCCACTACGTAATTACTTAACTGTTCTCATTTCCATCGTGTTTCAAACGCTTACACAATATTTTCTTACTTTTCTACAGCCCGAACAGCTGTACAGTTTCCCAGCCAGGCTGAGCCTTCCCAAGGGATCCCCAAGCGGTTTCCCACTTCAATTCTTCGTCATCGTTTCTGCTGCTGGACAACCCCTGAACCTTCACTATGGACCAGTCGTTGCGGAACAATGGAGAACATACCAACCCCACCACTACCAAGTAGTTGGCACCAAGGAATACGAACAATTCACGAGGAACCCAGTCGATAAGATTCACGGTGGTTACCAACACGTCGAAGTGATCCCCGACTTTGACGCTCAAATCATCACTCACGGTAAGATCGTCTTTCAACCCTAAAACAGAACATAATAACTGGAACTAAACATTTCAAGTAAACTGTTTTCTAAATAATCCGATAACTTTGCAGGAAACTTCCACTACGGGTATTTGTACAAGAAATACCCAGGCAGCTACTACTACCCACGCTGGCAACAAACTCACTACGAATACGGTAGCCACCCCAGCTTGAAGGAACACCATGGAGTCGAACAGCACGTAGGTGATTACAGCCACCAGTACGCATCTCCTTACACTGGCAGCTTACCTCAAAGTGGTACCTACAAGTACCCATACGCCTACCAGAAGGTCGTCGAGAATGGTCCACAAGGGTCGTACCAACAGAGCATCTACAAACAGGGCATGTACGAAAGCAAAAGCCAGGACGTGTACCACGGCAGTGGATACTACTCGGGTAGCCAGTACAGCACCGTTGCCAGCACCTACCCAGTGAACAAAGGACGCGAGGAGTACATCCACAATTATTACCAGAACAAGTACATTGGTGATGTGATCGGTGGTGGAATCTCTCTGGACAACAAGCCTCTTGGTTATCCATTCGACAGGCCATTGGCTAACAGTGCCATGTACGTGCCCAACATTTACATCGCTGATGCCATTGTCTACCACGAAGACGAGAAAATCACAGAGTACTGAGCTTCACGATTCCTAGTTTAAATTTATTTATGTCAGCGCTACTACTATTACTATTAATAATGTTATTATTATTGTTGTGATTTTTTTTTTCTGTGTCTCGTCTTTGGCTCTCTTTCGCGAAAGGTGCTCAAAAGACGAGTGTCATGTTGACTGAATGCGCACTGTGCAACTTTGTATCTTCTCAGCGATGATACGAAGGAAAAATAATAAAATAGTTGATACATAACTATAATCTGTCTTCTTTGGAATTTTTCTTCCCACTCTACGATTATTTCAATACTTTACGAGGGGTCGTGAGTTAATCCTATCGAAAAAATGTCGAGGTTTTTTTTTCGACAGGACAAATAGCCAGGATGCCGAATAACCACTTATTTGACACTTGAGACGATTAGTGAACATTTTTTCGGATGATGTCTGAACCCTAAAGCTCGTGGATAAAAAACCCAGCAATGGTTACACCACATACGATACAACAGTCATTACTAATAAGAGCAAAAATGATTCATAACTCGAAAGATTGAAAAACCGTCAACTCGCCAATTGAGTAGTCGCTTGTATAAAAATCGCAAAATCACTCATGTTATAAACGTTAGTATTGAAAATTGAAAAATTAGTAAATCCCACAGTTTTAATTGGCCTTGTGGTGAAAATCGTATTCACCGACACAATTGATTAAATTTTCGCTCATTCGGGATTTGTTCAGCCCAACCTCCTCACCCTCACTCTCCCGGCTATATACTCTTCATCCGAACACGCTGTCCTTGTTTTTGAGAAGCATCGCGTAAACAGTGCGTCTCCTCCTCGCTACAATGAAAGGCAATTTCCAGCTGCTTTCTCTCAGCGCCAAGGTGAATCAATTGACGAAGGAGCGGGGGGTAAAAATAACACCCCGTGAATTCCAATCCTGCAGGATCTACAGCGTGAATAAGCTTGATTACCCTATTGAGCGTTGGGTATTTTCCTATCCGTTTCAAAGGGAAAAAGTGCCCGCTTTATTTACGAGGAAATACGTTTCATTCGGATACAAACTTTGTTACCAACGCTTTGGAATCCCCGTGCATGTACGCCATTCTTCCGCTATTAATTTGCGATGCTGTATTTTCACGTGAATGAATGAAGGCAGTATATTTTCAGTAGCAGCACAAAGCAGCAACTTTCGATGCATATTAATGTTGAAACTTGGTTGCCAAAAAGCCATTGGTATGATTGGATTCAAAGCTATTCGGGGGTTCGTTTCCACCGGCGGTACAAGGTACTCGAAAAGAGAGCTTTTCCCATCGAATCGAACATCGCCGATTTTCATGAATACGTGTGTTTTTGACGGACCGCTGCTAATTAATGCCAAAGTACACTCTTTGAATGCACGCCGTATTTTCCATAGCGACTCTCATTGCCTTCACTTCGTCGCTCGGAGAGTTCGTTCAGACTCGTTGAGCCTCAGAAGCAGCTTTTTGCATAAGGTCATAGAGCTCGGCTAGCCAACACCAGCTCTACTTCCCTCGGAATACAATATATCGCACTTTTTTTTCATTCCACTGCAAAGTGTGGATATGGAATTACAAGTGCAAATATCTAGAAAAAGCTAGCTATTTGTTGTATCGGTTGGGCGGCCTCCGTGTAAGAGCGCTTTACAACGGCCCTATAGCCATAAATACGACAAGCAGGAGTCGGGAGGGGGGGAGGAAAAAGAAAAGCAAAGCGGTAAAGAAAATACGAGTGAGAGAGGGTGGGGGAGGGAAAACTGAGAGGTGCGATACGAGCAGGTGGGGAAGGGAGAGGTGACCGGCCGCGTCGGGCGATTTATTGCATATGAGTTCGGCGGATTTGTCAGTCGAGAATTTCCTCTCTCCGGCGGCCGATAACCGGGACGGGGCGCGGAGAATGAGGCCATAAATTTCGGAATCGAGTCTCCGCCGCGGAAATTTCGGGACGCGGATTTTCCCCCTTGGAGAGGCTTGAGCCTCTTTGCGCGGGGACCGAGGGATCCACCGGTCGCCGAGACGAAACAAAAACAGTACGGGAGGCTCAAGATCCTAGCTGGGAGTCTTTTTTTTTTTTTTTTTTTCCGGAAAAAATACTTTCCTCGCCCTGATGCGCTTGAATTGAGAGATATTTTAAATTTCCCTCCGAATCTATGTTACCTACTCTCTAAAATAATGATTAGCATATGTTCAACTTTTTCTAACAGTAAAACAAGCGGTTTCGCTAATTCAAAGTTGTATGCTTTATATAACTATTTCAAATAGGAAATATAATTATATTGACTGTGAAATAGTGGATTTTCGTGAATATTCACTATTTCTACCAAGTTAACGTTTAAATTACTCAACATTGGATTACTGATAAATAATTAGAATTAAGATGTATAACAATTGGGAGCGAATAATCGATCCTAAATTTTTACCATTTCATCAGTGAAAATCTCGTTAGCTTTCGCAAGTAGTGAAATTTTCACTATTTTAAATTTAGATAGTACGTATTATGTGCGATATGTGGGATAAGGAACAAGAAAAAAAAAAAAAAAGTAGGTACATACGTAGTCTACATGCAGTTCACGAAATTCTTGGACCCCGATAGCAGAGGAAGTAAAAAAGAAACACAAGAAGCCAACGTGGACACGGAGAGATAAGGTTATCGACTTTCCAAGTTCGGCGTATATATGGCACGAAGGAGGCCACATCCCCGGGTAAAACGAAGAGTCGACGCTACACACACACCGGCTGACTTTTTAATTACGTGTCATAAACTGCGGCCGATACGGTCCACTCGAGCGACACTCTATTTTCTGGATGGCCGCTGGTCCGGTCCATCCAACCGGAATCCCTCCCCCGCTCTATTTATCTACATCTACCGGCTCCTTTTTACCCCCCCCCCCTCTCCCCACGTATTCCACACACGCGCTCCCAAGGGAATACCCTACATGCGGCTCGAAAGCTCCGTGGAACGTATTGCAAAAGTGCCCGGCGAACTTGATAAATCGAGCCCCGCGAGATTCGCCAAATCATTTTTCACTCTTAATTTCACGCCCCGGGGACGCCCGCGTAAACGCACCCCGCTTACAACTTATGGAGATTTTTCGCCCTCGTGTATATAATGGAGTTTTGGGTTTGATGTAGCTTTCGGGGAAACGCCGAATTTTCAATCTTGCCGCGAATCCGTCCTCGATCCAGCTGGGACGAAAACCCGTTATCAGGGATTCCCAATCGAAGCCGATGAGGGAAAAGTTCACCATTGTCCAGAGCAAAGATATTAATGAATCTCGGCAGGCGCTGGGGGCGAATCCTTTTTCAGATATCGGCTGGGCTGGTATGTAATTAATGACCGGAATGATGATGATGATAATAATGACGCCCCCCGTCGTTACTATTATCACCGCGTGACTCGGCTCGCTCCTTTGTTTCGGCCTCTCCCGTGTCTTATATACGTGTATATATATATATANGGTAATGAAAACAGCTCCAATACAACGATTGAAGATTTTTATCAGTTGGTACGTGCGCACAGGTGTGCGATCGAGATAAAAAACAAACACAACTGTTTAAACACTTATTGATAAAAGATAAACTCTGTGGCTTCTGATCAGATTATTTTGCAGATTATTATGTATATACATATATATATATATATACACATTGTCGACTCCTCTCACTCTCATTGTTCCGTAATTGCGAAATTTCGCGCGCTGCAGGCACCTCCTTCTTCCTTGGATTTTCAGTCGTAATTAAAATATCGACAGTGCCGGATGCTTCGAGTCCAAACATTTATCAACAAGGGACCTCTTTACCCCCCCGTTTATATTAAATTCCAACCCGAAAACGATATTACACACTTTTTTTTTTTTTTTTTTTTTTTTTTTTTCAAATAGGTATATCCATGAGTATAGCACCCGCGTGTAAACAAGCGGCATTGTAGCAAAAGGTGTGTTTCGCTTGTTCCCCGACGTCACGACTCCACGGAACGAACCAAAAGTTCATTGGCTCGAACGGAACAAGAATCCAAAAAGGTCCCTCGCAGGCATCCTTGGATGCAAAGTACGCCCGCTCTCTCTCTCTCTCTCTCTCTCTGTTGTTTCGAGTAATGGCGTGTGTTTATGCACCTCCCTGGGAAAGTAGCGAAACTTACTTATACTCTTCCCGAAATCTCAGCGGCCGCGCGCCCGTCTTTTCCGCCCCTCCGGGGTGATAATATGATTTGGCTCATTAGAAGTTTCGTCGGGGCTTTGTTTGGCCCGACCAAAGTCGACGGATGGAAGAGCAGACCCGAAAAGGCCCCTTCTCGGCTCTCTATGCTAATCTGCGTCGATTCGAAGCGCATTCGGGATTAGACGCGTGCCTATGTATATATGCGCGGGCGTTTCGTCCCGTCGGGGAGTTTTCGGGAAAAACGTCTCGAGGCGAAAGAATCGCAGTTAGTTGGCGGTACTGCTGACCCACATCTCGAGGATATACACGCATGGACGGAAAATATAACCGAGCGAATCGTTGCTCGACGACCGGTGAGGAGGAGGAGACAATGGGTGATGGAGAGAGAAAAAAATAAACGAGCAAGTATATATGTGGGGAAAAACGAAGAACGGGCGAGCCGAAGGGGGTTTGTTAAAAATGAGGCCCTCGGGCGTTTTCCGGTCGCGACAATGACAACCGGAAAATTAAATCCCAAGCCCATGGGTGCGAGTGCCATTATTCGTCCGTGCGGTCCTTCGCCCTGTAGCGTTGCGTTCTTGGTGGAAAACTTTGCACGGAAAATTCTTCTTTTTTTTTTTTTAATTGTGTTTGTATGGAAAATAAATAATAAATCAAATGTTGATGCATCTCGGTTTATTTTCCAACAATTGGTCCCGAAAGGTGTAAGGTGTGTACCACCATCATCAGGCATTTCGGAGCCAGTAGAACGGGTGGGCGAATGAAAATCCATCTTGCAAACAGAGCCAAGTGTCGCTTCGCGAGTGAAAATACCCGCGCGTCGTGTCGAGAGTGACGAGTCATCTGCATCTACATTGAGAGGGGCTTTCTTGATCCCTGCCGAAACTG